CCCCATATTTTTTTTTTTTTGGGGGGGGGGGGGGGGGGGAATCACCCCAAATCTTTACTATCAGCTCTCTGTAAGAGGTAGCGCCCCAGGCTTGCAAACAATACAGTAACCATCCACAGGTGCCCAGTTTCTAAAGGATTCAGCCTACATCCAAAATGCGCAAAACAAGGAAGAATTAAATCACACCACCACTGAATTTAAAAGACTTATTGAAAAGATGGATTTTTTATTTGTTTCACCCTCAGCAGGGGTTAGTCATAGAAGTACATATATGACTAAGCCTGGTTGAGGATGAAACATGTCGGAGCAGAGCCTACATCCATCAAAGAACATCTGTTCAATAAATAAAGTTCTTCGGAATTCAACAGGGGTGCAGCCTACTTCTTCCTTGTTGCAAAATCAACCTAAAGTGATTCCCATCTTAAAATGTTGTCATAGGAACAGGCGTCCCAAATTTAGGCTTGCCCTCACTTCTTGCGCTGGTGACAAACCAAACATTTTGGATTTCCCATCAGTCTCTCTCAGTGACAATGGCCACCAATACAATTGGAGAGGGACACAGACAGCTCTAACATTTTTCCAGAAGTTCTAACTCTAAACTAAAACAATGCCTTTACATGCACTTTAATTAATAACCGATGCCAATGGTTGAATGCCCTTTAAAGTGGATCTTCAATGGAGCTTCTAAACGGTACCACAATGTGACACTATACACCATCTGTCAGCCATTATTCAGTTTTGCCCTCCAGAACACCTACAACATGTAAATCTTGGCATAGATTCAGGGGTCAATTTTGTCCACGTTCCAAGCTTAACATAAGTCTGGACAACCTACATCCCACAATGCAGTGAAGGCGTCTTCATTGGGATTCCAAAAGCCCCATACATGGCTTGAATTTCAGGCGATTCCTGCTAGAATAGGCTGCAATTTGAGCTTTGGATGGCCCTGCAAGCACCACCCTGCTTGACAAAAGAGGATTTCAAATTTAACTGAGCTGAGTGGAAAATTATCGTATTGGAGGCAGTCACTTCTTGGCAGCTCCAGCGTATTACTACATTAGCCAGCAGCAGAGATCCCTACTTCCACACCTTTAGCGTGGATGGAGGAATTCATTGATTTTCTCTCTACAAGAGAATGATGAGCCAAGTATGGTGGCCTTAAGGTGACCACTTTGCACTGTGAGGGGGTGGGGGGGGGGCATTCTGTCTTTGGTCAGTTGAGACGGTTTATATGAGAAGTTCTACTGACGGGTTGACTTAAAGTGTACCTCTAGTAAAATCTTTTTTATTTTTTTTATTTTTGGATAGAATACGGAACAGTTAGAACCCTTCTCGGGTCATGGTTGTTTTTTTTTTTGTCTGTGTCCTGTTGGGGTCATTTCCCTTCATTCCTGTTCTGGTGACAGCTTTGTCACTGTGGCCCGAAGTAAGGGGTAGCCACCGGGGTGGCATGGATAGCAATTACAAAGCTAACAGAGGTTATGGCCTTCCCCAATCCTAATAAAAAGAGTCGCAAATTCGGACTCCATTCGGGTCTTGGAGCGTCAGTTTTAGTATTATGTGTATATAAGTAGTATTCTATAACACAAACGAATATTTGTAGCAGCAACATTGTGACCCATATATACAGCAAACTAAACCTGAGGCTCCCAGACCCGAATCTCTGTCGAGAGCTCCCGAATGCAATTCGAAAATTCGGATTCAGAGCCATTCGGATGCATTAAACCAAAAAACACATCTAATTGGCCAGAGAAGTCACATGTCCGATTCAATTTCATTTTTGAATGGAATTCGGACAGGATCTGACATTTGGAAACAGAGATTCGGATTTGGAAACATTCGGATGCATTGGGATTCAGAAATTTGCATGTGTCCGAATTTCAGAAAATTTTTATGAATTTTGGTTCGGGACAAAACGAATTGCACATGTCTACTGCTTTGTTTATTGTGTGACACCACCCAAGTGGATTGCCCCAACTTCCATGGAGTAAGGTAGAGCTCAATCCCCGATGGATCTTCTCTACTCTTTGGAAGCTTGGTGGTGGGATTCCTACACCACAGCACCCCCATGTCACTGTGAGCCAGCATTATAAATAGGTTGCTTGTTGTAAAAAGCTTCTTCTAGAAGTAGAACTCCAGCCAAAGCATTTTTATTAGGTATGGATGGAGCTAGAAAGGGATGGAACCTCTGTTAGGTCATTACTGCTGTCTGTGTTTCTGTTCGAAAGATTTCCCTTCACCTCCAAGTAGGGATGCACCGATACCGGTTTTTCAGTATCGAGTACGTGTACCGATATATTTTTTTCGGTACTCGCCGATACTAAATACTGATAACGGAAGTCCCATTAAGAAAGCCAGGTGGCGTGTAATGACTCCCCACCTTGCTTCCTGATTAGCCAGGAAGCCAGGCGGCGTGTAAAGATTCACCACACGGCTTCCAGATCAGCAGGGAAGCCGTCTCCATGCTCCGTCGTCACCAGGCGTGGTATTACCTGGAATACAAAGTAAGGGAACATTTCTAGGCAACAATTCTAACCCTTCCCTACTCTATCCAAAACTTGAATATTGGATGGATATTCTTGTATTGTAGGGGGGTAACCACCAGAACACGCTAAATTCAGCCATAACTACACAATATGTTTAACTAATAACCTGGATATGTATTTTGTATTTGAATGTACTGTCTGAAATAAAACAATTATGTTTAATAAAATGATGGGCTTGAGCCAGGAAATAAGTCCCGCCTCGGACAATGTTCTTCACCTGTTGGTTCTGAGCAACAAATAAAGCTAAACGTATTTGAAGTGGTTCCGCTTCTACTGACCGTGCAAGCCAGGCTCCTGATTAAACATTGGCTGCAGTTGATCAGGACTGAGATATGTTGATCTTTCCCAGTAGGAACACATATTTTTCAGCTTTTAGGAAGTTCTCCATCTGAGGTGGCACCAATAATGATCTCTTC